GAGCATTCCGGCTGTACTTCTTCCAAGACAGATTTGTTCATTCTTCTGGCAGTCCATGGTACATTCAATATTCTTTGCCAACACCATAATCCAAAGGCATCAATTCTTCTTCAGTCTTCATTATTCACTGTCCAGCTTTTGCATGCATATGAGGGCATTGAAAATACCATGGCTTGAGTCAGGTGCACCTTAGTCCTCAAGGTGACATCTTTGCTTTTTAACACTGTAAAGAGATCTTTTGCAGCAGAAGCACGTTGGTCTGCTTTATTTGGGAAGAATTCTATAAGAAACCTTTTTAACTCTTAAATCATAACACATAGTTTAGCATGCTTTTTCCCCTTAACGTATTTTTGACTGAAGGGGAAGAAGACTTTTTCATTTGTTCTAGAGTAGGGGCTTCTAACCTTGTAACTTCTCACCAGAATTTTTTATTTCCACATTTTATGATTAAGAATAAGGGAGTAGATTGACTGCTAGCATCAATCCCCTCCATTCAAATCCACCAACTTCTGTTAACTCCAGAGGGTACCTTTCATGTTGTATTCTACGTGAATGGTGCCTTCTAGAGTGGTTCAGTGGAAAGTGGCCCACTTTCCACAACAGATCAAATGACTGTGGTGTGTTAATGATCGGTTTATTATTGAGCATGTATGCTTCTGAGACCTTCTGGTAAATCACAGCTTACTGCTGGGTAGTAGGCTTGTTCTGTTAGAGTATACTCTGGGATGAGAGGAAGAAATTTCATATTTTTTCCCTTATCTGTTCTCTTGGAGCTCCTCTGAGTTTCTGCCATGGTATTCTTAACTATTCAGAATGAGCAGAGTTCATAGTCCCATGAGTCACTTAAAGTACTATGAATGTCACATACTAATGCTAGAATTCTATATTTGGAAGTTTTAGAGTAGAATGGTAACACTAATATTGTTCCTTCTCTAGAGTCTTCTTTGGAAGTACCCAAACCAAGCCTGTTGACCTCATTTTGTAAACAATAGTAGGCCCTTAGATTCTGTAACTATTCCCAGGTACATAAACAATGGGAGATTTTATTCCCTACTTCTAGCTTATCATGTTAGATAGCCCAGCTCTTCTGACCTATAAAAGAGCTTGGAAGAAAGAATAGTAAGATAGGGAATAAAATCTTTATATCTTTATTTGTATTTTAAGAGATCTCTCTCTTTTTGATTACCTGTATTGGTCTGCTGCCTTCCTAACCTAAAAATACATATTTGCAATGAACTAGGATAAGTGCATTCTCTGTCCTTAAGGTTATGGTCTGGTGGGCAAGACATAGATGCATATAAAACATTATGTAACAGTGTGAAAAGTGCAATAATAAGGACATAGTTTAGATATAATGGTGGCACTGAGGAAAAATTAATCAGTTTTGACTGAGTGAGTCAGAGAAAGCTTTGCAGAGAATTTACTTAAGCATCTTAAAAATCTTGAAGGATTTGTCAGTAAATGTGTATGTGGGGGTTAAGGAAGGTGGTTAGGGAGAGTATTACAGATAAAGGGAATAGTGTGCACAAAAAATAGCATGTCAGTTCACAGACAGCGAATAGCGTGGGTGTTGTATAGGGTGTATGTAGAGGCATGATAAAAGAAGAGGCTAGTTTGTTAAGCACAGGGCCTTATAAGACATACTAAAAAAAATGAATATTCTCTTGGTAGTAGAGAACCATTAAAGGGATTTTAGAAAAATCACTGAAGACAGGTTGGAGGATTTGGTGAAAGCAGAATTGAATTTAGGGGGCTTGTTGCGGTAATTTAGGTGAAAATGGCGAATGCTTAACTAAGGCAGTGGATTTACTGCAGGGCTTCAAACCAGTTTGAACTGGTTCAGTCATGACCAACAAAGTAAAACTGGAACAGACCCAAATTTTTATCGTTTGGGTGATCCAGAACAATAACCAGAGTAGGGAAAATTACAGGTTGAAGCCCTGGAGCAGGAGAGTCAAGAGACGTAGTGAGCCCTTTCAGGATGCTGATGCATGAGATTGAGTTATTGGCAAGACTGTGGAGAATGACACTTTCAAAGCGATATGGTTGGCTGCCATCTTTGAGTGGGGCAGTGTTGTTTCTGACTGCTGAAAATCTGATGGTCAAGATGTTTGGTTGCTATGTAACACATATGCTGCCCTTGTTTTTTAAGAGGGAGATTAGGTTCTAGCAGGACTTCAACCTATAATTTTTCCCATTCTGGTTATCTTTCCAGTTCACCCAGATTTTAAAAATTTGCGTCTGTTCTGATTTCACTTCCTCAGCCGTGACTGAACTGTTTTGAACTGGGAATAACCGGTTCAAAGCCCTGGTTTACAGGGGAAGGTACAGTTTGGAGAACGTTTTAAACAGTCGAATCTATAAGATTTAGAGATTTATTGGATATGGAGAGGCAGAAGGAAAGTTGAAGTATGACTCTCAGGTTTCTGATTTGGACAGCTAACAGGGTGGCCATGAACTAGGGTCAGGACTGTAAGAGGAATAACAAAGAGATGTCCAGTAGGCAGTTGAACAACATGGGTCTAAAACTCAGTGGTGAGTAATATGGAGAGAAATTGTGGTCTTCAGCATGTAGGAGATAATGGAAGCCACAGCCACAGATTAGATCACTGAGAGAGAATATGTAGTGGGAGAAGAGAAGAGGGTCCCGGAATAGAGTCTTAGGGAAGGCCGGCAGTTAGGGGGTAGGTGCAAGAGGAAGCAGCGCTCCTTATGTTCTGGGATACTGAAAAGGGAATCATCGTTTGAGGTAACCATAGTTTTCTCTTTCAGGAATGGTAGTGCTATTGGCCTTCCGGTCCCACCTATCACAGCCTTAATCACCCCAGGTCCTGTTCGTCATTGCCAAATTCCTGACTTGCCTGTGGATGGGAGCCTGCTCTTTGAATTTCTCTTTTTCATCTACCTGCTGGTCGCCCTGTTCATCCAGTACATCAACATCTATAAAACAGTGTGGTGGTATCCTTACAACCATCCTGCTTCCTGTACTTCACTGGTAAGTTCCAGTAGGTCTTTAAGTTCTTCACGTTACTTAACCAAAAAACTGGTTGGAAAGCCTATGTGTAGAAATTATTTGGGGTAGACTTTTTTCTACTAAACCGTAGCTTACCTTCAGCAATACACTGTCATGATAAGTTTGTTAAAGGATAAATATCTGGCTTTGGTACAAGACCAGAGGAAGAAAAAATATCAGTGAAAATGTAGAAAACATTTAAATCATTTATTATAATAATATCACGGAAGGGATTTGATATTTAGCTTTCTGAACACCCTTCTAAATTTCTTAAAAGTGTAAAGTGTCAATATGATTAAATTTCAGCAACTCTACCCTCATATTGGCTCTATTAGGATAATGGCAGCTTCTATAACAAATAAGCCCCAAATTATATAATGCTTTAAATACTTAACAATCTGAGGCAATTATCCTCGATTGGCAGGATTAGCATTTTTCCATGAGGTCAGTCAGAGACTCAGGCTGATGGAGACTCTGTCCTCTTCTAAAATGTGGTTTTCTAGGTGGCTGAGGTCCATCTCTGTCAGCTAAGAAGGGGAAAGAACATGGAGGACGGTAAAAGAGTTTCTGAAGGGCCAGGCTCACATCACTTTCACATGTGTCCACTCCTAACTGCAGGGGAGTCTGGGAAACATAGTTTAGCTGAGTGTCCATGAGGAGGAGGAGAATACAGACTTTGGTGAAGAGTTGGCAGTCTTGGCCCCCCAAGGGAGGAGTGAATTCAATTTGTTCCAGCTGATGTATCGTGCCCATTTTCTAAATTGAAATGTTGTTTTGCTAATGTCAGTCAGGATTAGATTTTCTGTTATTTATAGATGAATCTAAGTAATAGTGTTCTAAACTTAAATAGAAAAGTATTTCTCGTATAAAAGAAGTCTGGAGGTAGATAGTCCTGGGCTATATGCTGGAACTCCATTAGAGACTCAGGCTTCTTCTGTTCTTCACTTACCATCCCACTGTGTAGTTTCCATTTTCATGACTAACTCAGGGACCAGAATCGCTGCTCAAGGACTGGTCATCATCTGACAGAGTTCCAGAGAGCAGGAAAGAAGAAGCGGGAAGGATACAAAGAACACTCATTTCATGAGTCAGCTCCGTATATGAAGCCTTCCTGAAAGTCCCACGCAACACTTTCGTTTATGTCTCAATGGCCAGAACTTAGCCCCATGGCTCACCTAGCTACAAGGAAGCCTGGAAAATGTAGTCCTTTAGCAGGGTGTATTGTTACCCTGAATAAAATTGGGGTCCTGTTACAAAAAAAAAAAGGAGTCAGGAGCTAGCTGTCTCCATCGTAGTACGTAAAATTATGCTGTAGGCTTCTTCTACACTCTTTCTAATTATTAGGAGGCCAATGATAAACCTGATGGAGAGAAGGTTCTCCATAGATGGGTATATAAAATAATGGGTAAGGCTAGTCAGTGACTTGACAGGTATGTAGTTGGCACTTGGATATTTGGATGGTGATGGAAATGTGCTTTAGGAGAAAGAAGACTATGGTTGTGGGTAGTTTATGTATGTGTCTGGGACTTATAAAAAATTGGGAAACACAGAAAGGGAATGCGAATCAAAACCCTCAAGATGGTATGGGACGGAAATTTAAAAATTTGTTTTAAATATATTAATGTGTTTTCAGTGAAGGTTTACACAGCAGTTTAGGTTTCTGTTCAACAATTTCTTCACAAGTTGTTTGGTGACATTGCTTACATTCTTCACAATGCATGAACATTCTCAATATTTCTGTTCTGGTTGTTCCTTTTTCATTAATCTAGCTTCCCTGCCCCCTTACGTTCTCATCTTTGTTTTAAAGTAATTGTTGACCATTTGGTCTCATATAGGTGATTTTTTTTTTTTTCCAAGGAGCACAGTGCTTACGGATGATATTTTTTGAGCCAATTTGTTTCTCAGCTACAAGGTGACCTCGAGTTAGTTTCATTCAAGGTTTAAAGAATATCTCAAGGCAGTAGTTTTGGGGAGTCCTCCAGTCTCAAACAGTCTGGGTGGTCTGGTTTTCTTGTGTGTGTGTGTGTGTGTGTGTCTTTTTTTTTTTGGTAGGATTTTGAGGTTCTGTTCCACAGTTTTCTCCCATTCTATCAGGGTCCATCTCTTGTGACCCTGGTTAGACTGTCACTAGTGGCAGCCAGGCACCACCTAGTTCTTCTGGTCTTTAGGGTAGATAAGGCTGTTTTAAATTTTTGTTTATCACTTGATTATTCCTGGAATTAACTGTTGAAGAATTTTCTTTCCATTTTGACCATCTGTCTACTTAATATCAGTAGAAAATTTCAGTTTCTATATATAAGAATTTTAATGATTTAGTGCCAAATTGTATGCTGTTTTTTTTTTTTTTTTTTTTAAAGTAGTTTTTCTTCCTACCTGGATTGTAAGATTATTGAGTAGAGGAACTGTACTTCATCCACACTTCTTTGGCCATGGTGTTGTAAAATGAAGAGGTTGGACTAGATGATCTTTAAGGCTTCTCCCGCTGTATGGCGGTATAAGTACATACCTTACTATCTTAACCCTAACAATGGCCAGCACTTAGTAAAATATTTACTATGTTCTTTACAAGTATTATCTCATTTATTCTTTATAAAAGCAGGTTGGTACTACTATATGCCTCCCATTTTACAAATGAGGAATGTGAGACCTAGAAATTATGAAGCTGGCTCCAGATCACACAGTGGCAAATTGAGCACTCAAATCCAGGCCGATCCACTATGCTTTGCTTCCTGTATTTATCCTGTTTTTACTCTACAAGTACATGTTGGTTTGTTCATTATAAAATTTCCTCCTTGTTTGACACTTCACTGGAAACTTACCATTTGCTGAATTTTTGGGCTATTCAAAGAACTCTTCTCCCAGTTGACTGTTTCTGAGTAGAGTTCCTTAAGAAAATCACCACAGATGTTACCTTGAAGGAAAGGGAACCAGTGTTCCTGCCATAATCAGGACGCTGCTGCTACAGTTGCTGACTCCAGTATTATAAAATATTTATTTAATGAGTTAATTTGAGAAACTCAATGACAGATGTTTTGATTATCAAAATGAAAGTACATCTCAATTTTGTTGGTTCCTGGGATATTGCTGCTAAGGACTTTTCTTTTTATTATCACAGTTGTATATACAGACTTAGAACTAGAAGGAACCATAGACAACATCCAGGTAATGCTACCATTTTATAGAAGAAAAGATCAAATATAAGACATATTTCTAAGTCAGGTTAGGGAGAAAGACTAATTGAATGTAATTAATCTGTCGGCTAGTAAAGAACTTAGTTTATCAAATGCCCAATTAGATTAACATAAGCTTGCATAAAGACCAACAACAGTAACCTCCTAAGAGTGGGAAGCCCAACTGGTCTATTAAATTTGACACTCATTATAAATACGACAGGTTAGATAAATTAGTCTTGCCATGATTCTGCAGGTTGTCACTTACTAATCCGAAGCCGTAATCTCTTCCCTTTAATACAGTAAATTTTCAAAAAAGGAAAGGAATACATTCCAAATAGTTAAAACTAGTATTATGGAAAGTTAAAGCAATTTGTCATGAAAGGAGAAGTAACAGGTAGGGGCTGTCTTCAAGATCTCTCAAATTCCCAGGGTCTATAAATGTAAGGTGATCTGAAAAAGATCTTTAGAGGTGGGTAAACCTCTATTCATGTAGTAGTTCCAGCTGGATACACATCATATTTCTTTCTGATGCAGTTATTTGTTTTTCTCTTATAGAATTTTCATCTCATTGATTATCACCTGGCAGCATTCATCACGGTGATGCTTGCAAGGAGGCTTGTATGGGCCCTCATCTCAGAGGTAATAGCTCATTCACTACATCCTATCACTGGTAGCTAGCGTTAGTTATGAGAATGGGTTCAGATTGAACCTGTGAGATGTCCAAGTACAATTTGAATACAATTGTAAGTTAATTTTTTTACTCCCACATGAGTTGTGCTAGTACTTTTTAAAAGGGTTTCCTGCAATGTATTTAAAGTTCAGGTGTGAAATAACTGAAGAGAACTGTTACGAGATTTCATTTGTTGGGTGAAAGCTTATTTTCAGCTTCCAAGTTCTTCAGTACAGTCTTTTAAATTATAATACAGTAAAAATAGGGTGAATTTTCAGGTAATTAATATGAAGAATTGTTTGTACACATGCAGTTGCATCTAAAACATTGAATTTCAAGTAATATTCACTTGAAATTATTTATATACCATTTGTTGAGTTTGGTGTCAAGAAACAATTATTTGAGTTTATTAAAACTTCGAATTTTATAAGGCAACATCAGAATTTACATAGGATTAATTGAAAATTAGAATCTAAACATAGAAGACCAGAGAAAAGAATTAAAACATTAAAATGATCTTTTTTTAAATTCAAAGTTGTTGATAAAGTTGGCCATTGGTATCATTTTTGTATATTTGTAAACCCAGTAAGGGTGAAAAATGTGCTTTCTTAAGATTTTATTATCTTGGACCCTAAAAATGATTATAAAAACAGAAACAAACAAAAATGTTAACTTAGCTAAAGTGGCTAGTAATTTTAATCTTGGAGTTTATAATTCAATGTGAAATAAGTAAGTGTTTATTTTAAATAAATATTGTTACTATAATGACAGATGGAGCCCTGGTGGCACAGTGGTTAAAAACTCGGCTGCTAACCAAAAGGTTGTCAGTTTGAATCCACCAGCCACTCCTTGGAAACCCTATGGGGCAGTTCTACTCTGTCCTATAGGGTTGCTATGAGTTGATATCGACTCGACAGCAGCGGATTTTATAATGACAGATAACTGAGTATCAGCATTTTTCTTCCAAAACATACATGGCAAGTCTTTGTGTGAGTAAGCTGTAATTTTCAGGAATCTTATTTCTGTGAGCACAGAGGAGTTAGAGATACTAAGTCATGATCTGAAAGCAGTTTGAAGTTAACTGAAAAACATTGGTAGAGGAACTGTATGTTTTTCACAGTGGGAAAGGCTTTTCTCTCAGGCTTTTTATTTAGATGCTGAAAATAGATGCTTCCTTTCGGATATATCGAGAAGTTGTGTTCTTTCTTTAGAGGTACTTAGTGGCATTTTGTTTGCATCTGTTAAAACAGACATGGAATGATTTTGTTTCATCCCTTCAGTTACTTAGAAATGGTACTTGTGTATGTCAAATTAGTATGTTGAGTTTGTGTATAAAACCCTTCATAGCTGGAGTTTCTACCTTGGAGTTGAGAGGGCTCTAACTTGAAGTGCCTCACTCCTTCTTTTACTAATGCCCTAACAACAGCTTACGAGCTTTTACGTGGCTTTGGAGAGTGTATTTGCTGTTTTCTGGAAAAGCCTGTAATTCTTACTGAAGGTCCCTGGGCGGCGCAGATGGTTGACGCTCAACCACTGTTGTAGGCTGGATTCTCCAGAGAAGCAAAACCAGTAAAGCGTGTGTATGTGTATATATGTATACATATATATATTTATAGCAAGAGATTTATATCAAGGAAATGGCTTGTGCGGTTTTTAGAGGCTATATGTCCCAAGTCCATGGGACAGGAAAGAGGATTCTGATTCATGTAGCCGCGGCTGGTGAACCCAAGATCGGCGGGCCGGAGAGCAGGGCTGTAGCAGCCTGTGAAGATGAACGAATCTCAAGATCGGCAGGCAGCCTGCTAGTTCAAGTCCCAAGAACCAGAGGTCAGACGAACAGGAGCCAGCTGCAGGATCTAGAACAAGCAAAAGCCCCGGCAAGGCAAGCAGGAAGGAACTAGGTGGAGGAAGGCGGAGAGATAAAGGCTTAGGGGGCCGTGAGCTGCCACAGGCCCTGCCTACCTGCTGGTACCACTCAGCAGATTCCATCATGGCAGTGATCATGCATCAGATTTCAACAGGGAAGTGATCACAACATTAGACAACTGCCAAAACACTGAGAATCATGGCCCAGCCAAGTTGACACACGATCTTAACCATTAAAACTACTAACCTAAAGGTTGGCAGTTCAAACCCACACAGTGGCACTTCAGAAAAAGAAGTAGGGATCTGATTCCGTAAAAGATTATTGTCAAGAAAACCATATGGAGCAATTCTACTCTGTCACACATGTCGTTAGAATTGACTCGACACCAACGGCTTAATTCTTACTGAGAATAGAATACATAAGCTAAATTTAAACAGATTTTTAGTCAAAGACTTAATTCTGTACCTTCATGCCCGTCAGTAAGGGAGTATTTAAATAATTATGGTATATGTACATGATGGAATAGCATGCAGTCATTAAAAACATGAAAAAAGTTTTTATGTATTGATCTCCATGATATGAAGTTAAAAAAGCAAGGTGCAGTGTTTAAAATAAGGCAGGTGGAGGGAACAAAATATATTTTCTTATGTATGAATAAATTATCTCTAGAAGACCATACAAACTAATAATGGATTGCCTGGTTGATAACTGGGAGACAGGACCAGCAGGAGAGAAACTTTTCACTACCAACACTGTTACACGTTTTGTATTTTGAGCCATGTGAATATATTACCTACTCAAAAATTAAAAATAAGACCTGTGTAGTGATTCTCTTCCTAAAATATCTTAATTAGATAGATAAAAATGTATCGTAAATCATCCATCCTTCCTTCCGTTAAAATGTTTGCCTTTTTTTGCTTGTATCACAGAAAGAATCTCTACCTGAGAAAGACCAATCTTTTTTATGGAGAGGCTGGAGGTAATTAATTCAGAAAGCTAAATACTATTCAGAGAGGAATCCCTCTCTATCTAGATAGAGTCTTTATTTGCCTCCAGGCCAACTCTACTTCTGTACTTCTTCCACAAGACCAAAAATAATTCAGCTATTCTGTCACCAACCTGAAGCAGCTGTCTTTTAAAAATTTTTTTCTAAATAGTGGTTTTATTGGAAAAAAAAAATTTGAAAAACAACGAAGTACAAAGCAGAAAATTAAAAATTATTCACTATCCTATTACTGTTGGTATATTTCCTTCTAATGTTTATGTACATATAAAGATTATATATGTATATTTTAATATATTTGGGACATTATCTGTATAGTTTTATATTCTGAACTTTTCGCTTAACATTGTATCATGGATTTTTTCCTAATCCTCACCTGGATAAGTCTTGCTTATTCTTTAAGTCTCAGCTTAATTATCACTTCCTCAGGGAAGCCTTCCCTCAGTTAGGGTTTCTTGTTACTTGCTCTCTACAGCAACCTACTCTTTTCCTGTAGCTTTCCTCACAATTGTAAAAATAATTATTTGTTTTTGCTTTAAGTTTAATATTTGTTCTGGTTCAATAGCTTTACAAAGACAGGGATCTTGTTTGACTGGGTCACCGTCATGTCCCCAGGGCTTGGTATAGTGTCTGTCATATATAGCACAGTGGTTAAGAGCTTGGGCTTTGGAATAAGATAGATGGATGAACACATTCAAGCTCTGCTGCTCTGGTAACATTGGGCAGAAGCAGCCTTTTTACTTCTAACCCTGAACTTTTGAGAGTGGAGCCAGTAGAATAATTCCACTGGTTTAAATACCTTGCCTAGATTCTGACATGTGAGGTGCACTGGCTTGAAGAGTGGTATGTAACTGTTTGCCCTGTTGCGGCTGAGAACAGCTTTAGCCTTCGCCACAGGTAGAGACTTAAGTTGTGGTATTACTTCACCTGCTTCTTCACATGTTTAAATAGCTATATATACTATGTGTATCTACTTATATATTTCATGTGTAATATGTATATTATCGTGGAGCCATGATGGCTCAGTGGTTAAGAGCTCGGCTGGTAACCAAAAGGTCGGCAGTTTGAATCCACCAGCCACTTGTTGGAAACCCTGTGGGGCAGTTCTTCTCTGTCCTATAGGGTCACTATGAGTTGGAATCGACTTGACGGCAATGAGTTCTTTGGTTTTATACATGTTATCTGTTATATAATGGAGCCCTGGTGGTACAGTGGTTAAGAACTTGGCTGCTAACCAAAAGATCAGCAGTTCGAATTCACCAGCCGCTCCTTGGAAACCCTATGGGGCAGTTCTACTCTGTCCTATAGAGTTGTTATATATAATATAACGTGTAAACTAAGACAGGGATATATATGGGGGAACCTGAAAAGATTCTTATGCTCTCGCATATACTGTTGACCAAGGTAATTTTTTCCCTCTTTCTCGGTTCTGACACTGCTGTTTCAGAGGTCATAGGAATCCACTATTCTGCATTTTGCTCATTCTGTCCTCCTTAGTTCACTTGGAAAGAAAATGGCATTGGATAGCTTCATGTTTAGACAGGTGTGTTTTCTTACTATGTAGTCAGTTTTAAAGATTTGAGATTAAAGAATATTGGAACAGTTGTGATACAAAGAATTGGAGGTGATTATACATTATTTTCATGTTTGCAAAAGGTATTATTTATATAGGGATCTGCCAAAGAAGATCTGATTATTTTTTGAAAAAACTTTAGTAATTTATTAAACCGCAATTCAGCAAATAGAGTTGAGGATTCAAAGAAAAAATAGAAACGTTGCTGCTGTTGAGGGCATTAGAATCTAGTGGGGAGTAAAACAAGTAAATCAGTAAGGTAATTCATTTGATTCTTTGGTCTCTCCCTATATATATGAGGAGGGAAGTAGGAATTTGCATATTCAATAAGCAGTCCAGGTGATTCTGATGAATGTGGTTCTTGGACCATACTTTGAGAAGCTCCAGTGTAAACAAATTATTAGGCAAATTATAACTTAAAGGAAGTCTGTGTGGGGCACTGTGAGAGTACAAGGTGGGGACAGCTAATTGTGCCTGGGGGCATCTCAGTCTTCAAGAGTGAGGAGGATAGGTGGGGTGAGGCTCCTTCCTTTCTTCCTTCCTTCTTTCCTTTCTCCCTCCCTCCCTCCTTCCTTCGTTTTTCTCTCTGTTTCTTTTGGCACAGTTTAGTTTCCATTATACTTCCTTGAGTCACATTGCTTTTGAATAAGATCATGTATAAAATGTTTCTTTTGATGATTCCAAACTTTCAGGCCACTAAGGCGGGTGCAGCATCTATGATTCACTACATGGTTCTGATATCAGCTCGTTTGGTGCTACTTACTTTGTGTGGATGGGTGCTTTGTTGGACCCTTGTCAATCTCTTCCGAAGCCATTCAGTCCTCAATCTCCTTTTCCTTGGCTACCCGTGAGTACTCCAGCTTTTATCATTTTATTAGTAAGGAAAATAGTCATCAGAATATTTTATAAGCTGTAAATATTCCATAAACATTCATAAGAATAATTCCTAAAAAATATTTGGGTCATGCAAGAGGGTAGGTAGCATAAAAGAGGGCAAAATGAAATTCTTTGAGTATAAACCAAGAGTTTAAAAAGTTGGAAAATCAGGAGATAGGGTGACCATATAATTTATTTTCTATACTGGGATACTTCTGATCTAGTTTAGGGTAACTGGATGAAATATTGGGAAAATAGGCATAAACTAGGACTGCCCTGGGAATCTGGAGTGTGCGGCCATCCTCCAAATGGAGAACAGTTTAATTAGTTCTGTTTGCCAAATTGAATGAGTTGGCTTAATCAGGCCTTTCCTTTTGGTCAAATTACATTAATTTTTGGGGAGTCATGTAAGAGAACTATGCCATAACCAAGCCTGATTGACTTTTTTGGAGCGGGTGGGGGAGAACAGTTCATTATGAAAAATTTTATTAAGAAAATGAAAAGACAAGTCACAGACAGGGAGAAAAATGTTGGCAAAACACAAATCTGATAAAAGATTTTAATCCAAAATACATAAAAAACTGTTAAAACTCAACATTAAGAAAACAGACAACCCATGGGCAAAAGATCTAAACAGATGTACAGATGACGAGCATATGAAAAGATGCTCAACATCGTCTGTTGTTAGGGAATTATGAATTCAAGTGATGAGATAACACTACATACCTATTAGAATAGCTAAAATCCAGAACAGTGACAACACCAAATGCTGGAGATGATGCGGAGCAATGAGAATTCTCATTCATTGCTGGTGGGAATACAGATGGTACAGCACATTGGAAGACATTTCTGGCAATTTCTTACAAAGCCAAGCATATGCTTACCGTATGATCCAGCAGTCGCACTCCTTGATACTTAACTCAAATGAGTTGAAAACTTTGCCTGCGCAAAAATCTGCACACGAATGTATATAGCAGCTTTATTCATAACTATCTAAAATTGGAAGCCAAATGTCCTTCAGAAAGTGAGTGGGTAAACAAATTGTGGTACATCCATATAATGGAATATTACCCAGCAATAAATAGAAATGAGCTGTCAAACCATGAAAAGACACGGAGGAACCTTAAATGCATGTTACTGAGTGAAAGGAGCAAGTCTGAAAACGTGATATAGTGTATGATTCCAACTCTATGACATTCCAGAAAAGGAAAAACTATAGTAAAACAATCAGTGGTTGCTGTGGGTTTGAGGGGAGGAGGGAGGGATGAATAGATGGAACATGGGATATTTCGGGCAGTGAAGCTATTTGTATGATATTGTAATAGTGGATACATGATGTGTGTTTTTCCAAACCCGTAGAAGTGTACAACACAGAGTGAACCCTAATATAAACTGTGGACTTTAGTTAATAATAATGCATCAATATGGTTCACCATACTATGCAAAATGGTGATAGTGGGGGAACTGTGTATGTGGAGGGAGAGGAGGTACATGGGAGCTCTCTGTACTTTCTGGTCAATTATTCTGTAAACCTAAAAGTGCTCTAAAAAACAGAAAAAAGTATTGATTAAAAAATAACAGTTAAAAAAATTTTATACACACAAGCTTGAAAGAATTTTACAGTGAACACCTAGATTCTACCCATTATAGTAAATTATATAGTTTAACACTTATCTGTCCGTCCCTCTATCCATCCATCATTACATCTTATTTTTGGTTTATTTCAAAGCTATATTGCTAATCTCAGTATGCTTAAATACTTCAGCATATGCATATCATTAACTACAGTTTAATATTTGTTTACTGTTTTTTCTTTCTAGGTAAAATTTATGTACAATAAAAGTCACAGATCTTAAGTGTACATTTGCTCAAACCCCTACCAAATTATAAAACATTACCATTACCCCAGAAGGTTTCTTCATGCCACTTCCCAATCAAACCCCATCCCCATCCCCCTCCCAGAGGCAACCACTGCCCTGATTTTTTTCTGCCGTAGATTAGTTTCTCTGTTCTAGGACTTTCTGTATGGAATCATACAGTATGTACACTTCTATGTAAGACTTCTTTCACTCAGCATAATGTTTTTGAGACTCATCCAAGTGGTTGTTTATCAGTAGTATTCAGTCGTGTGACTGTACCACAGTTTTTAAATTCATTCTCCTATTAATGGACACCAAAGTTGTTTTCAGTTTTTTGGCTATTGTAAATAAAACTGTTACGAACATTCTTGTGCAGGCTTTTTTTGCAAAGATGTGTTTTCATTCTCTTGGGTAAACCGATCTAAGAGTGGCATTGCTAGGTTATAGGGTAGGAGTATGTTTAGTTTTATAAGAATCTACTGGGCCTTTTTCCAGAAAGGTTGTATCATTTTTTCCTGTCACCCATTCTGTGAGTTCTTGTTGCTCCACATCTTTGCCAGCATTTGGTGCATTTCATTTTTTAAATTTTCGCCATGCTCTCGGGTGTCTAGTGGTATCTCATTGTATATATTGGCTTATTAAACTAACTTCTTTGCATAGTTTAATTTGTACACATTTAGCTAATACTTTCTTTATAGAATGTTAATAAATAGCTGTCATTTATTGGGGGCCCTGGTGGCATAGTGGCTAAGAGCTTGGCTGCTAACCAAAAGTTGGGCAGTTTGAATCCATCCGCTGCTCTGTGGAAACCCTGTGGGGTAGTTCTACTCTGTCCTATAGGGTTGCTGAGTCGGAATCGACTCAACAGCAATAGGTTTGGTTGTTTTCTTGTTATTTATGGAGCTCTTACTATGTGCTAAGGGGTGTACTAGGTATTTATAAACATTCCCTTATAAAATCGTCACAATAATCTAAGAGGTAGCGTATTTAGTAGAGATCCAAAATAATAGTAAGAAGTTAGAAGTTTATTCATCTCTCCTGTACGGTATGAATGTAAGTCATCTTGGGGAGCTGTGGCAGCTCCATGGTGTCAGAGACTCAGGTTTTTGTGTTTTGGCGCTCTACCCTCCTTAGGATGGATTGGGAGAAGGATGGCGTGACCCAGAGTTGCGCTTATCACCTTATCCCGCCTCCCATTGGTCAGAGCTTAACCAAAAAGCCATATGTAGCAGTAAGAAAAGCTTGAAAATTAAGTCTCTACCAGGGTAGTCATCTGCACAACTAAAATTCCATTGCTGTGGAAGAACAGGAAAACTGGCCACTGGCACACAGTTAGCAGTCTTTGCCACAGGTAAAGATAGCCTAAGAGATTAAGAAACTTTCCCATGGTCAAATACTTAGTAAATGAGAAAGACTTGAGTCTTAACGATTACACTATAGTCAGTAGTTCTCAAAACGTGGTTCCCAAAACAGCATCACCTGGAAACTTGACAGAACTAGAAGTTCTCAGAATCTACCTTGGACCTGTTGAACCAGAACCTCTGAGGGTAGGGCCGGGCAGTCTGTATTTAATGAGCCCTCCAGGTGATACTGATGCATGCTTCGGTTTAAGAACCACTGCTTTATACCATTTATGGTGCTGAAGTGTAAGTGTGAGTTTATATGGGTGGTCACATAGTGTAAAATCAAGGCTTAATCAGAGACTGCAGGAAAGGACGGCAAGAAGAGTCTATTGGTTATACAATGGGAGGTCTCATTATATTCTTAGTTTAAACAGTTATTTAAGGCACTAAGCAACTGACTTTATTAACGTTTACTTTTTTCCTACAAAGTGAATTTCCTATGTTATAAACATTTTTCATGACTCAAGTTTCTTAGCAAGTATATATCCTTAATGTCACATCAATTGTTTCTGTATTTCTAGATTAGTATTTTAACTGTTTGAGGTGAAAACAAATGATGATTTAATTATTCCCTTTACCAGGCAATAGATGATTGAATCCATTGGAAGGCTAGTCATGGATTAATCAAGAGAGTATTTTAGCAGTATTTAAGAAGCCAAAGGGCTAGCAAATTTTTTTATTTTAATTTAGGTATATGAAGAAGGTTACTTATTCTAGAGGCTCTTCACACCCCATAAAACAATGAAATAAGATATGACTTAAACAAATTTTTGGTTCAAATATATTTGCCTTCTTTACTTTTTGAAAAGTTCTATAATCTAACTTTTATTTAGACTTCAATTTAAAAACTAGATCATAGCAACAACTACATCTTTCTTTTTCTTCTATTCCTAAATTAGAAAAGAGCGAGCCTAAGAAGTTCTTTTCTGCTGGGTTTTTTTCCTCCTAGTTCTCAAATAGCTTCTCAGTTTAGGGCACATTAGCCCCAAGTTTAACAGTTGTATCTCCTAAATATATTTAGAATCTGCCTACTGCTGTCTATAATCTCTACTACCAGTACCAGTTACTGTCAGATTGATTCTCTTTTGGTAATCCATTCTTGCCCACTCCATTCTATTTTCCATTGTAACTAGAATAATTTTCAGAATGGAAGTTTAATCATATTACTGACCCTCCTTAAAATCCTTTAATGGATCATTTCCTTTACTTAACAAAGCCCTTCGTGACCCAAGCCTTTGATGCTGCCTTTCCAGTTTCTCACATTCTACCCTGTATTGTTTATCGATTGCCACCAAATGATACAGTAAACAACCACAAATCCCATCGTAACATACCACAAAATGTGTTTACTGTGCATGTGTCTGGGATCAGCTGAAAGTCAAGAGGCTCCTCTGATTTTAGCTGGGCTCAGTCACAAATTGAGGATCAACTGACTCAGTTTAGGCAGCTAGAACAACTCAGCTCTGCTCCATGCATTCTCATCTTCTAATAGGCCAGCTTGGAAATGCTCACATGAAAATGGCAGAGCAACAAGAGAGCAAGCCCCAATGTGCAAGCCTGTTTCAAGCTTCTGATTGCAGCATGTCTGCTGACGTTCTGTTGGCCAAAACAAGTTACATGGTTGAGTTCAGTAACAGGGCGGGGCACGCTGCAGGTCATATCACACATAGCATGAGGGCTTTGCAGTTAGTTACATGAAACGGGTAAGAATACAAAGAAAAGTATAGAATTGGGGCCATCATTGTGATCTCCCACCCTCCTCAGCCTCTTACCCCCACCCCTATAAATACAGTTTATGGTTTAGCAATATTGAACTTCTTACAACCTTCTCTGGCCTTTGAGTCCTTCTGCCTGAAACTTCTACCCATACTTCATCCCATCCTACTCTCTAAGGCACATTCAGTCAGAGTGGATCTCTGAGCTACTGCTAACCATCCTTTTAGTAACAAGCTCATCCTTTCTCCTTCTATAGAAAACTGAACAAGTGTCATTTGTTAATTTTGTTATAAAATGTATAACTAGATAAAATATTTTTATTTGCTTTTTTTTTAATATTTGAATTTGTCAGTGACACAGCCATTTTATTTGCAATACCTAGGTAACAATGTGGAATTTCCTTAATGAGAACTTGGGAAAGTATTTTAAAAAATTTTAAGGCACCAAAGATTGGAATAACTATAAGACATTATCAAAAGTCTCAAAAACAGTCGTCCTTTAACCAAGTAATTCTACTTCCAGAAATTAATTCATTCTACTTTTAGAATTTTTTTTTACTAATTCATCAAATATTTATTGAGTGTTTAATATATCCCAGCCACTATTCTAGGCACGAGGGCTACAGCTCGGCAGACTGAAATCTCTGCCTTCATAGAGTTTAGACTGTAGTGGGAGGAAATAGATAAAAACAATACAAAAAAATTAAAAAATAAAACATTTTAATGACAAGTTCTGTGGAGAAAAATAACCGCGAAAGGGTGATTAGGAGTGCCCACAGGAGTGGAGTGGGTGATGTAGTGAGGAGGTTGGGGAGCCCCTCACTAGAAGTGGGTAGGTGATGTGGGGCAGAGGGGGGCACTTCCCTAAGATGCGACATTTGAGGTGAGGGACAAGCCGTGCAAAAATTAACAGATGTACACAGATGGGTGTGTAGGAAAATGCTTATCACATTGTTATGTGGTAATAAACAGCCTAAGCATGCAGCAAGAGTGAAAGGGCCAAATTACGGTATATCTATATGAGAATATTATAGCATCTTTAAAAATTATTACAGAAAAATATTCAGTGACATGATAAAATGCATATATGTAATATGTACATATAATTAAAACAGCAGGATATAGTTTATACTGTATGAGGCCAAATGTGGAAGAAAAAAAGTGTAATATCTATTTTTACACATTAGAAGATGTACTCAATTATAAAAACGGTTATTTCTAGGTGATTTATATTTTGTCGTTGTGATTTTCTATAGTTCCCTATTCTTCACTGAATGTATTTTCCTTTTGTAGAGAGAAATTAGCTAAGGAGATTCCCACATAATGAATTTACTGTAAGCAAAGGCCTCCTTGAGTTACTCTGGAGAATCATGACTATTTTATTGACATAGTTGTAAGCTTTGATCTAGGCAGCAGCCGTGGTCTCATTTTCATATCCACCTTGTTCTACAGGTTTGGTGTTTATGTTCCTCTCTGTTGTTTCCACCAAGATGGTAGAGCTCATCTTCTTCTCACAGACTATAACTACATGGTTCAGCACCAGGCGGTAGAGGAAAGTGCCTCAACTGTGGGTGGCTTGGCTAAATCCAAAGACTTCCTCTCCTTATTGCTGGAGTCTCTAAAAGAACAGTTTAATAATGCCACGCCCATCCCCACCCACAGCTGCCCCCTATCTCCTGACCTCATTCGCAATGAAGTAGAATGTCTGAAAGCAGATTTCAACCACAGAATCAAGGAAGTGCTCTTCAACTCCCTCTTCAGTGCCTACTATGTTGCATTTCTTCCCCTGTGTTTTGTGAAGGTAAGTGGTTATCTTGCTTTTATGTGCCTCCTGGATTTGTGTGTGAATTACATCAACTGGGTATTTCTTACTTAATCCCCCTTTTCTCTGTCTCCCCTTTGGCAGCCTGGATGGTGGAGTTCGGCTGCATCTGGAATGCACTAATACCGCTCCTGGTTGGCGGATAGGTATTTCCATATATGTGATGGTCCCCTCTTTTTTTTTTAAGTTACTTGTTACCACCCAGGGAGAATGAAAATTGTACTTATAGAATCAGTACATAGTGGCTTAAGAGGACCAAGGTTTCAATAAAATTCAACCTGTTTTGGTTGATCATAACATGGTTATCAGGAGTTTCCTTGAACTTAAACTAACCTTTATTTAAACTTCAGTTTACTTCAATAGAAAAGAAAAATGGTTCTGGATGTCACTTGGGCCCAAAGTCTTTTGGGACATTTTAGTGCCCTTCCTTCATCCATTGAGAAGCACTTCTGCAGCTGGAGTGGTCATTCACAAAGAGCACTCACTTCTTCCAGGAAGGAAGCACTTAAAATATAATCGCCTCTCCCTCCCAGTCCTAACTTATACAGCCAGAAAGTCAGGTTGAAGGATTTTGGAGGACTCTGCTCTTGAACTTTCTGCACGGACAGCAGGACAACCAATGCATGTGTGACTCAGTGTGGCATTTGTCTACACACACCCATCCTTGCCTCCTCTGTTTGCCAGTGCGTGGATCATTTCTCTCTCTTCTGATCTCTTCCAGAGTACCCAGTACTATGACATGCGCTGGTCATGTGAACACCTCATTATGGTGTGGATCAATGCTTTTGTCATGCTCACCACGCAACTGCTGCCATCCAAATACTGTGATTTGCTACATAAATCAGCTGCTCACCTTGGCAAGTGGCAGAAGCTGGAACATGGGTCCTACAGCAATGCTCCCCAGCACATGTGAGTAGGCTAGAGGGTAAAACCATGTAACACTTTTCTACATGCTGCTGATCATGTTTATTTGCTTTGTATGTCATTCTTGACCTTGGCTTTGAACATTTAATTGTTAGTTTTTGTCCACGTGGATGCTTGCCATCGCTCTAAACTGAACACAGCGGACATTAAGTCATTTCCACCACCATCCCCAACCCTTCCTTAAATCCCCCTTATGTTTCAACTGCCCAGGCACTCTAGAGTGTGTAATTTGACTCCCAAGCTGTAATCTTGGAGTTTTCTTTCAGTTCTAACTCTGCTCAAATTCAAAGAGTCATGGTATATTTTTAATTCTTTTTAAGACCTTTAAGATTCACCTTCTCATCTTCATTGCCACAGCTTAATAGTTGCTAGCTAATCATTTCACCCTTGGACAGCTGAAATTTGCTTTGCTTATCTTGTCTTTCTAATAATGCAGCTTTGTTCTAGTAATTTTCCTTGCCTGCACTTTTTGTTGTTTTTTTTTTTTTTCTCTCTTCTTTTTTTGCTAATCTGTCAACTGAATGTTTCCCTGCATTTCCCATATTTAAGTGAAAACTGTCCCTGACTGGGAGTTCTTCTCTCTCAGTATTCCTCTGACTGTGTCCCACATCAGTCATTTCTCTGCATGGTCCCTCTGATCCCAAACATTTCACTTTAGAGCCTTTTGTTTCTTTTCTCACTTCTGAGCCCTTCATCATACCTTTTTCTCTGACCAGGACCATCTTCGTCTTCCTTCTTTTTGTAATTTGAACATTTCACAAATTTCATCAACTAGAAGTTCTTTCCTAATTAAGTGGGACAGATTGAGGTGATCTTCCCTTACCCTCTCCCCCTCAGAGTTCTCCCTTCAATTATCTGCCTTGATGTCTGATACAGATTAGCACAGGCCTTCAAACCCAGGAACTGAAAGAGATTGGGCCAGGCTGAAAAGAAACCCGACTGTGGGCAAAGGACAGATTTCAATAAAAATTGAAAGTACAATCCACAGTACTAGTACTGTGCATCTTCAGGCTACTGATGGCACATGGCCATGAGGTGTATCTCCACTTTGATGCTGGTAAGTGTGAGCAAGGCTGGCGGAACATTTTCTGAACTGGGAAAGCTATAGGGTACTAGAACTTTATTTTATTTTTTAACACATCTAAAATGCTGTCCCAGTTCTTACCTTAGGAAACTAACTTTTCCAAAATGAGGAAGAGGTGAATTAACTTAGGTTTTTAAAAAAGCTTTACCTGAAGACCCCCAGCCCAACTCCATTACATTGGTGCTGGAAAGAATGAAGCTGCTCCTTCCTTAACTTCCTTTCAATAGAGACACCTCTATAAAAATAAACCAAGAAGGCGGTAAAAAGAAAAAAAAGTCTGTGTCAGTACCTTGTGTGTCTCTGTGTTCTACTGTATAGCGTCTCACGTACATGAGGTATTTGAAATATTTGATAAGTGAAAACCTGATTTTCTGTGTCTGATTGGGATGTAATTCCTGCAGTAAATGTCATGCGAGTCTGACAGTATGTTAATTTCTTCACGACTCTTAACTGCCATCAGCTTTCTTTTCTTGTTTGTCCCTCTAGCTTTTGCACCAATAGACTCTGCTCACTTGGGATTGAGATAACAGTCCACCTACTTACACTCTATTTTCTGGCTCATATATGCCTTATTTATACTTTTATTTCCGCTCATTCTTCTAAACCTTTTAATTAAGTCCTTTGACACTGAGTTAACTATATCACTTTGCACTCTCTCTCTACTATATAGTAACGAAGTTATAATAACAAATCTTTTCTGTCTCCTTCCAGTTTGACCATGGAATTACTGTATTTTCAGAATTCAGGCCGACAAAGCCTTGAATACTTACTCTCACACAGAAGTATAGCCAACCTTACCAGACAGTATCTTACCTGAAATTGCCAACATGCTAACATTGCATTGCTTTCTTCCTCAGTTGGTCAGAAAATACAATATGGCCTCAAGGGGTGCTGGTGCGACACAGCCGATGTTTATACAGAGCTATGGGGCCTTACAACGTGGCAGTGCCTTCAGATGTATCCCATGCCCGCTTTTATGCAAGTACCACTTATTTATTTTCAAATGTAAGCTTAGGGTTAAATGTTAGGAGGTCGCTATGCAATATTTTGACTACTGCTATAAGCCTCTGTCTCCTCATCTGTAAAATGGGTATTGTGAGGATTAGAAACATATGTAAGCACCTAGCACAGTGTGTAGTATGTTAGGAAATTAACACAAGGTAATTATTACTACTCCTCTAACAATAGCCCCTATCCTTTGGAAATGACTTCTGAAAGGCAGTTTGAAGATCATATGCCATTATTGCAGCTTCAAAGCTTGACTGGCTTCTCTAGTTACATTGGAATTTGTTGAGTCTAATATTACTTGAAACAAGTAGGCACTTATTTAGACTTTCCTTTTTTATTGTATAATTTTTTTTTATAATAGTTTTAGTGGTTTTTTTATGATGTATTTGTGTTTCCTTAAGCAATATTTAATATAGTGATATGATAGCTTTTTTAAAAAATATTTTTCATATGTATTCTCTTGTGAAAGTACTTTGACTTCCCTATTTGGAAGTCAGACAAATGCTATGGTCTATGACCTAACTTTTACTTTTTCCTGGATTAAAAGGAAAAAAGTCCTAAAAATTAAAATGGAAAATAGCAACAGACAGCTACTAAACCCAGCCTCTGTCCCATTTGAATTTACACGTTGGGTTCTGTTCTATTGACCTTTTAGTTTGCTAGAAATTCTGGCTTTAGGAGGCAGAAGTATTTACTTACAAGGAGCAGTAACAAGTAGGGGTGGGGAGAAGGGGGTACATGTAGGGGGCTGTTCTTAGTAAAGGAGCCCATAGTGCAGTGTGTTGCCTTGGATGGAGATCATATTCTAAAGAACTGGTGATCTTTTACTGAGATACTTGGGTCCCTCTTTTTCTTCCTCCTTTCCTTTCTCTCTGCTTTTCTTTCTTCCTTCCCCCCTCTCCCTCTCTCCCTTCCAGTGTATCTAAAATGCTGTCCCAGTTACTTGTGAGAGTACATGGACTTCTGGTTCTGTAGGAGTTTGTTACTAGGGGACCTTTCAAATAGCTACTGGAGAACTTGTATCAGGTCAGGATGCTTGTAAATAGCATGGAGGGAGGGGTTTGAGTTGAGAACAACATGGAGAGTGAAAGGCCCTTGAATGAGGAAACTATGACATCTCCTTCTAGACTCCTTTGGGATTGCCTTAAGATGGAGGAGTGGATTTGAGTCACAGTACATAAATGTTAGATTTCTACATAAAATATTTAATTCAGCCAGCTGAATTCCATAGGCCATTAATGACTTCTGTTGGCCATTGCTGATGCCTTGAAACCTACAGTAGCCACATATTTCCTTATTGTATTACTTGCAAAATAAGTATTTCTCTCGCTAACTTTGGATAGCTGAAGAATTAGGTGGAGCCCTTAGAAGAAGGATTAGGAAAGTTAACTTATTACTGATTTTGCATGACCAAGTACTTAAATCAGTGCTTTTCGAAGTGTGCTCCTTGGGCCACCTGCATACAGATCACCTAGCCCACTCTAAAAACCAGGCCCCTACCCAAGACTTCTGAATCAGAACCTCTGCAGGATTCCAGGAATTTGCAGCATTTGCAAATTTGGAGATGATTCTTAGGCACACTGAGGTTTGAGAACCAAACCCACTGCTGTCTAATTGATTCCAACTCATAGTGACCCTGTAGGACAGACTAGAACTACCCTATAGGGTTTCCAAGGCTGTAAATCTTTACAGAATCAGATTGCAACATCTTTCTCCCACGGAGTGGAGGGTAGGTTCAAACTGCTGACTTCAGTTGGCAGCCGAGTGCTTTAACCACTGTACCACCACGGCTCCTTAAAGTTTGAGAATACCCAATTAAAATATACCTATTACTTATAGCTGTTGGAATTTAAAGCCTGTCCTCACCTTTCAGTATGTAGCTTAATTATAGATCTTGTCATGGAATCTGAAATTGTCTTCCTGAGTTCTTTTAGAATATTAGTTCTGAGCCTATTTTTATATACAATGTTACTGGATATCATGTAATAAAACCCAGGTTAAACCTTTTCTTCTTCCTGAAGAAGGAGTCTGGGAAACCTAGACACCTTTCAGAGCTGCCATGATTATTTGGCTTCATCCTTAGGTTTTAGCCCTGAGGTCTAAGTTCCACATAAATTAGTTTTTTTATGTCTGATATACTACCATCATTACAGTGTGTCTTTATCTAAATTTAGGATAGTCTGGTTATGGTGAATTGTTAGTGTTCCTTTGCAGCTTATGACCTATATCTTTCAATTCCTAATAACCTTTTTATTAGTAATCGAGGATTTAACTCCTTTGGAGTGAAGAATTTGGTGCGAGTGAACATAGTTAATCTCTATTTTGAGCCTAACTCTAATTCTGACTCATTTTTCCTTCTTTCTTCATTATCCTGTCTTTGTGCACCCAACTTCTCAATATCCAGAAAAAAATACCCCCCAGAACAGCAGAGTATATGGTGTAGAGGATCTGAGTCAGTGACCATGGTGGGTAAACAGAAGAAAAAGGAAAAAGAAGAAATTATTGTATTGATATTGCAATTTGTGATGCCCCTCCCCCATACTTTCTAATCTATGTCTGCTGCCTGTTTTTTGTACAACCCACAAGCTAGGAATGGATTTTATGTTTTTAAGTGGTTATATAAGTACCTATATAATATCTTCAGTGTTTGCCTCTTGACCTGCAAAGCCTAAAATATTTCCTGTCTGGTCCTTTATGAGACCCCTGTCTCAGGCAGTTTAAGATACTTTTGTTTTCTCAAATACAAGATATAATCTTTTAAAAATTTTTATAGTGCATTTCCATGTCTCAGGGAAATAAAATTATTTTCTTTATAATAAAAATAAAATTATTTCATTATTCCTTGAACAAAGAGGAAAAAGTTTGGGTTTCATTAGCAAGAAGCAGAATTGATATCCAATAAGAGATCTGTTTGTTATTGCGTATAGCAACCTGTACATATGAAATTATTTTTTTGAGAAATAACTGTGAAAATAACTACAGTCTTTACTCTTGTGTAAAATAATGTTTTGCTTTTTAACTTCCTTACAGTTCCTATTTCATCGTCCATTAAGGCTGTTAAATCTGCTTATCCTTATTGAGGGCAGTGTCGTCTTCTACCAGCTCTATTCCTTGCTGCGGTCCGAGAAGTGGAACCACACGCTTTCCATGGCTCTGATTCTCTTCTGCAACTACTATGTTTTATTTAAGCTCCTTCGGGACAGAATAGTATTAGGCAGGGCATATTCCTACCCACTCAACAGTTATGAACTCAAGGCAAATTAAGCTGCCGCTCAGCAATGAGGGAGAACTCAGATAAAAATATTTTCATACGTTCTATTTTTTTCTTGCGATTTTTATAAATATTTAAGATATTTTATATTTTGTATATTGTTACGTTTTGAAAGGTGGGAAGGGTAAGGGATATTAAATGTATCCATAAACAAGGTGATGTGATCTTTCATGTGTTAGTATATTTGAATAATATACATATGAGAGGTATGCCTCTCCAGTAAAGAGATTGATTTGTTTGTATGGCTCTAGAATAACTCATTCATTTATGGATACATCTTGTGTATTATTTGACACAGTACCTTTGGTGTGTCTGCTTTTCTTCCAATCCTTCTCTTTATGTTTAGTTCTTAGCTGGCTTCCTTGTGACAAAAAGGGCGATCAGTGGAGCTCTGCCTGCCAACACCCATTTGCTTTCTCTTCAGCTGGCTAACAGTGTTGGCATACCTAGGGAAAAAGTGGATTCAAGTCCTGGGTGGGGTTCTCCTTGTTGCCTACCAAGAGGAAGCATTTCTGAGACAGGGACTCAGTTGGTCTGTTCTATCCTATGACACTTAAATACACTTTTAAATAAGCTACTATCTTGAGGCTCAGGATATTGCTGTCACTTTCCCTATTCTTTCATCTTGTTTGCCTTCAAAGATTTTCCTTTTAAGGTTAGCCATTCGAAATAATACTTTTCAAGACAGTCTTTAGAGTGTTTCACACTCATGAGTGAGATGGTGTATGTCTAAGTCAGTGGGAGATGATGAGTGCAAACGCCATGTGGGCTGGAGTGTAGGCAAGTTGAAGATACCAAGTAGCTAGAAGAATGGGTGAATCCTCAGCTAAACAATCATGGATTCAGTCTAGCAGCAGCCCACCTATTATGTTTGGAGATGTGAGGGGAAATTAAATATAAGTTATCTCGTTGTTCTTAGAGAATTTGGCCTGTATCCAAAATGTGTGTGTGTGTGTGTAATTTCACACCCCAGAACTTTCATGTTTATGAGCATTAACCCTTTTAAGTCACTGTTCTTGGCGGGTAATATAGTTAGTCCATTAATGTTACCACTAGTCATCTAAACTTTTGAGGGCTTATCTTAAGAGCCTGAAATATATTCCCACATGTTTTCTTTGCTAAATTTGGTTTTTTAAACTATGAGAAGTTTTTGGTGAAACAAAATATGACTTATGAAGTAAAAAACCAATCATATTTCATAAACTGGCTCTGAAGACAGTTCTTGCAGAGGAGTTCCTAACAGGTTTTCAGTAATTGTAGCATTGTAAGGAATAGGTATATGTGTAGCTACCCAAGGTGACCACTTCTGTGTTCAAATTAACCATTGTTTCCTTAAATACTTTGATATGTAACTTTTTTTTTTTTAAGTTTCATTACTTGATATTCAGTCTCAGTTTATTCAACCTTTCAACGAGTATCTGTTGAGCACCAGGCATTATATTAGGCATTGGGATACAGCAGTGAATAAGTGCAAAGGCCCTGCCCTCATAGAGCTTACACTGTTGGGGGCAAGGGTTGCAGAATATATAAATTTATATATAATGTAATGCATCCTGGTAGTAGTGATTAAGTACAGTAAAGAGAAAATAAATCAGGACAAAGAAATAGAAAGGGCTAGAAATGCAGCTGGCTCTAGCATTGAAAAATAGCCCAGATAGCTCACTGCAGTGAGCAAAGTCTAAAAGTTTTAGCTGTGCCTGCCTAAAAGTTTCTTGCAGAAATTAGTGCTTTCAGTAGCATTGTGTGTATGAGGGAATTGTGAAAGTTAATACATTGTAACATTCTAATGTCCCAGATTCAACAACAACAACAACAAATAAATCACAAGGTACACAGAGAAACTGGAAATGATGGCTCATTCAAAGAAACAAGACAGAGAAATTATTTCTGTGGAAACCTGGATATGAACAGATTGGAAGAATATAATACAATGATATTAAACAAGCTCGAACTAAAGGAAGGCACAAAGAACTAAAATCAGGAAAACAATGCAGAACAAAGAATAAAAATCAAGAGATGGGCACTATTAAAAGAAACCAAACAGAAATACTGGAACTGACATGATAATTAAAAACTCACTGGAAGGACTCAGAAGAAGGAATCAGCAAACTAGAGGATAAGGTAATTGAAATTATGGTTTCTGAAGAGCAACAAGAGAAAAGACTCAAGACTGCTGAGCATAGCCTAATGGAAATGTCGGAGACCATCAGGTGAACTAACATATGCATCATGGGAATCCCAGAAGGAGATGAAAGAGAAAAAGTAATAGAAAGGATATTTGAAGAAATAACAACAGAAAACTTTCCAAATCGGATGAAGGACGTGAATCTATATAACAGAGAAGCTCAATGAACTCCAAGTAAGATAGACCCAGAGAGATCCACACCAAGACACATATAATCAACCTCTTAAAAAATGGAGAATCCTGAAAGCAGCATGACCTGTAAAAGACAAAATAGATAAATTGGACTTCATCGAAATTAAGAACTTTTGTGCAATAAAGGACTGTATCAGAGTGAAGAGACAACCTATAGATTGGGAGAAATTTTTGGGAACCATAAAATTCTGACAACAAAACCGGTAATGCTTTGTGACCTAGTTCTTGACAGTGTATGTGAATTGACACATACAAAGGATTCCCAATAAGATTATGTGCTGATTTCTCCTCAGAAACCTTGAAGGCCAGAAGGCAGTGGAATGACGTATTTAAAGTGCTGAAAGAAAAGAACTGTCAGCCAAGAATACTATACCTGGCAGAACTGCTCTTCAAAAATGAGGACGAAATTAGAACGTTCCTAGATTAAAGAAAAATTGAGGGAGTTCGTTACGACCAGACCTGCCCTACAAGAAATACTAAAGGGAATCCTTCAGATAGAAAGGAAAGGACACTACTAGACAGTATCTTGAAATCGTACATAGAAAAAAAAAGATCTCCATTCAAGGAAATTGCATGGGCAAGTATAAGGGCCAGTTTTAAGGTATTTTTTTGTTGGTAATTCTACTTGTTATGTCCTTCATGCTTTATGATGACAAAAGCATAAAAAATAAGTATAAACATATGTTACAGGGCACATGATGTGTAAAGATGTAATAGGTAATAACTAAATGGGGGGGCAGTATAGGAATAGTTTTGTATGTTACTGAAGTTGGTATCTATTTAAACCATGTTGTTATTACAAATGTCAGATGTTTAGTATAATCCTCATGATAACCACAAAGAAAATATCTTAAAAATATACACAAGAGTAAAGGAGATGAGAATCAAAATGGTCCACTACAAAAAATCAACAAAAACAAATGTTAGTAGTATACAGGAAAATGAGGGGCAAAGAAAGTATAAGACACACAAAGTGACAGAAGTCCTTTCTTATTGATAATTTCTTGGAATGTAAATGAACTAAATGTTCTAATCAAAAGGCAGAATGGTGGAATGGATTTAAAAAAAAAAAATCCAAGTATATACTGTCTATAAGAGACACATCTTAGTTAGGCCGAAAGACAAATAGATTGAAAGTGAATGGATGGAAAAAGTATTCCTTGCAAATTGTAATGAAAAGAGAGTTGGGGTGGCAATTTTAATATCAAACAAAATAGACTTTAAGTCAAAATCTGTTACAAGTGACAAAAAAGGACATTATATAATGATAAAAGGGTCAGTTCATCAAGAAGATATAACAATTGTGTATGCACCTTACATCAAAGCCCCAAAATACATTCAAGTAGTCCCCGACTTGCAATGGGGTTCGGTTCCGACGACTTCCTTGTAAGTCAGTACTGATGTAAGTCAAATACTTTTTTTTTTTTTTTTTAAGTTTTCATTATTGCTTTTTATTATTGGTGTCTTTATAAATCCAATCTTTGTTTTTGGGAGTTGGAAACATGCAAGTGAACATCTGAGAATGATAGCATCAGCAAATTACATGCTGCAGCATTGTAGTACATATTGCTAATAAGATGTACCAAAAAAAAAAAAAGATGATTGTAAGTGTGGTTTGCCGTAACTCGAATAAATTGTAAATTGGGGACTACCTGTAAGGGAGAAATAGTTCTACAGTAATACTTGGAGACATCAGTACACCTCTTTTGATAATGAGCAAAACATCTAGAACAAAGAGTAATAAAACAGAAGATTTGAACAATGTTAAACCAACTAGACCTACCATAGAACATCCCACTCACTCATCAGTAGTACAATATACATTCTTCTACAGTGTACATGGCTCATTCTCCAGGAAAGACCATATGTTAGGTCAAGGCAAGTTTCAATAAATTTAAAAAGATTTAAGTCATACAAAGCATCTTCCCTAACCCCAGTAAAATGAAACTGTAAGGGGCCCCAAATGGACAAAGCAATCTTATAAAAGAAGAACAAAGTAGGATACTCACCCTTCCCAATTCTAAAACAAAGCTACAGTAGTCAAAACAGCCCAGTACTGGTATAAGGATAGACATATAAATCAATGGTATAGAATTGACAGTCCAGAAATAAACCGATACATCTTGACAGTGAACTGTTACATGTGACACCAAAAGCACTGGTAGCAAAATACAAAATAGGTTATTTGGACTTTATCAGAATTAAAAACTTCTGTGCAATAAAGTACTTTATCAACAAAGTGAAGAGACAGCTTACACATTGGGAGAAAAAATTTGGGAACCATATATTGGATAAGGGTTTTATATCCAGAATGTATAAAGAACCCCTACAACTTAACAGACAGACAACCCAGTCAAAAAATGAGCAACAAACTTGAATAGACATTTCTCCCAAGAAGGTAGACAAATGGCCAGCAAGCACATGAAAAGATGTTCACTGCCATTAATTATTAGGGAAATACAGATCAAAACCACAAAGAGATGCTACTTCACCCTCACTAGGATGACTGTGATCCAAAAAATGGAAAACAACAGGTGTTGGCAAGGATGTGGAGAAATTGGAACCTTTATCCATTGCTGGTGGGATTGTAAAATGGTGCAGCCGCTGTGGAAAACAGTTTGGTGGTTCCTCAAAAAGTTAAACATAGAACTACCTTATGACCCAGCAATTCCACTCCTAAGTATATACCTGAAAGAATTAAATGCAAGAATGCAAACAGATAACTTATACACCAGTGTTCACTGCAGCACTATTCACAATACAGGCAGTCCCTGGGTTAGGGATCTCTAACTTGTCCAACTTATGTACAACCCCTAGTTACAAAGCAACCCCTGTAAAGCCTATTGTGTTAAAAACTTAGTGATCTGTAATAACAAACAGGTGCTACTTGGTGACATGCATCAAAGTATTATTACTGTATTATGTTAAAGATGTTTTAGTGTATCTGGAAGTGTTTCTTTCATGTTTTTTATACATAGAAGGGTACACTACTGAGAAAAAGACTTGTTTGTTGTACTGTAGTGGCTTATGTGTTGCTGTGATGCTGGAAGCTATGCCACCGGTATTTCCAATACCAGTAGGGTCTCCTATGGTGAACAGGTTTCAGGAGCTTCCAGGCTAAGACAGACTAGGAAGAAGAACCTGGTGGTCTACTTCTGAAAAAACTGGCCAGTAAAAACCTTATGAATAGCAGCAGAACATTGTCTGATATAGTGCCAGAAGATGAGTCCCTTAGGTTGGAAGGCACTCAATGCGATTGAGGAAGGGCTGCCAACTCAAAGTAGAGTCGACCATAATGATGTGGGTGGAGTCAAGCTTTCAGGACTTTCATTTGCAATGTGGCATGACTCAAAATGAGACAAAACAGCGGTAAATGTCCATTAATTGAAACTCGGAATGTACAAAGTATGAATCTAGGAAAATTGGAAGTCAAAAATGAAATGGAATGCATAAAGATCGATATCCTAGACATTAGTGAGCTGAAATGGACTGGCCTTGGCCATTTTGAATCAGACAATCATATGGTCTACTATGCTGGGAATGACAAAGAAGAATGGCATCACGTTCATCGCCAAAAAGAACATTTCAAGATCTATCCTGAAGTACAGCCCTGTCAGTGATAGGATAACATCCATACTCCTACAAGGAAGACCCATTAATATAACATATTCAAATTTACACACCAACCACTAAGGCCAAAGATGAAGAAATTGAAGATGTTTACCAGCTTCTGCAGTCTGAAATTGATCAAACATGCAATCAGGATGCATTGATAATTACTGGTGATTGGAATGCGAAAGTTGGAAACAGAAGGATCTGTAACTGGAAAATACAACCTTGGTGATAGAAATGACGCCGGAGATCACATGAAAGAATTTTGCAAGACCAACGACTTATTCATTGCAAATAACTTTTTTCAACAATATGAACAGTGACTATACTTGTGGACCTTGCCGGATGGAATCCACAGGAATCAAACTGACTACATCTGTGGAAAGAGATGATGGAGAAGCTCAATATCATAAGTCAGAACAAGCCAGGGATCAACTGCGGAAAAAACCATCAATTGCTTATACGTAAGTTCAAGTTGAAGCTGAAGAAAATTAAAACAAGTCCACGAGAGTCAAAATATGAGCCTGAGTATATCCCACTTGAATTTAGAGACCATCTCAAAAACAGATTTGGCACACTGAACAGTAATGACCAAAGACCAGATGAGCTGTGGGATGACATCAAGGACATCATACATGAAGAAAGCAAAACGTCATTAAAAAGTCAGGAAAGAAAGAATAGACTAACATGGATGCCAGAAGAGACTCTAAAACTTGCTCTTGAACATAGAGCAGGTAAAGTGAATGGAAGAGATGAGGAGCTGAACAGAAGATTTCAAAGGGCAGATCAAGAAGACAAAGTAAAGTATTATAACAAAATGTGCAGAGACCTGGAATAGAAAACCAAAAGGGAAGAATACACTTGGCATTTCTCAAGCTGAAAGAACTGAAGAACAAATTCAAGCCTCGAGTTGCTATATTGAAGAATTCTATGGGCAAAATACTGAACAATGCAGGAAGCATCAAAAGAAGATAGAAGG